GAGAGAGAGAGAGAGAGAGAGAATGGGAAGAGAGTGAGATGGGTGGTGGAGAAAAGGCAAAGTGGGGGACCTGGGAGGAGCTCCTCTTGGCCTACGCCATTAACCGCCATGGCACGTGCCAATGGGAAAATGTCGCCATGGAGTTGCAGAACCGCACGTGCGACTCCATCTACCTCACACCAGATGATTGCAAGTCCAGGTTCGAGGACCTGAGCCGTAGATTCACGGCCGGGGAAAAGTCGCCGAGAATCAAAGGCTCACCGGAAAATTTTTCGGAAAACGGGGAAAACACGCCGGAAAACGAGAAAAACCCTCCCGGGAACGAGATCCCTTGGCTTGAAGATTTGCGGAAACTTAGAGTTGCCGAGCTCAGGCGAGAGGTCGAGCGTTACGATGTCTCCATCGTGTATGGCGTTTTCTCCCCTTTTTTTTTTCCCTATTTTTCTATCGATTTCTGGTATTTTTCCGTTTTTTCTGCGTCTTTTTTTGGTTTTTTACGTTGTCTTCTTCGAGATTTCTCATGTATTCTGTGTGTTTTTTCTATGTTTTTTTGGCGATTTATCTGTGATTTATTGGCTCATTTTCTTTTTTTGTATCGATATTTATCCGTTATTTTTTCTGAAAAATTAATAGCTTCATGTTTTCTTCTTTTTGTGGTCTGTGGTTTTCGCACTTTTAAGATCTGGACTCCGGGCTGCCTTTGTATTCTTCTCTTTTTAATTCCTAACTTTTTTATTTTATTTTGTGATTATTTTTTTAATTTGCATTATTTTCCCATATTTCCTAAAATATATAATGTCTATTTGGGTGGTAAAGATCCGGTTTTTAAGCCTTACTCATATTTCTATTTTTATATCTGTTATATTTTCATCAAAATAAAGAAAATCCCCTTATAAGATCTAAATGTTTTTTACTCTTATGATTATTTCTGACTTTTATTATCAGTTGGTCATATAAAACAATCGAAATAGAAAAGAAATAAAAAAATTGCCGTTAAACCAAGTCTTTTCCGTCCGTAAGTCCTAACGCCGTTAAGAAGCGTAGTTTTCGCCGTTCAAAGCTTACGCCTTTCACGTTCGGTCTGTTTTTTATTTTCCTTTTATTGTTTTATTATCCATAGCATTTTTTGTGCTATTATTATATTAATATAATTTATGTAAGGAAAAGTTTATCATTTTAAAATATAGAAATAAAGTGCGCCGAAAAGTTTTTCTAAGGTTGTAATCATTTTAAAATATAGAAATAAAGTGCACCTTATAAATTCATCGGGAGTGTATTGTTTTAATGTTGAAAAATCTTCTAGTCGATATGAAAATTATGAATATATAAAATAAAAGATTTCGAGTCTCAAAAATAGTACATCTTGTAATATAATATGTGCACCGTCTATTTTTTTAATTTTCATTTGTTTATAAATCTACTTGATTTGAGTTATTTTTAGAGTTTTAAATTTAATAGTTATTAAAAATAAAAATAGATTTAGGCCCTCATAGGTATTTTTTGACACCAAAATGATATGTTATGATAAAATTGGAAGTGCCTTTAACCCTATGTAAACCACACCTTTTATGTAGTGTTTGTTTTATTAGCATTTCGGATTTTATGCCTTATTTAATATGCTCATCTATTTATTTGTTTCGTTAGTTGTCAAATTATTTGATTTTTATTTCCCGCTTTTTTTACGTTATTAATTCTCATTTTGAATTTTTACTTCGAATTAATTTCTTTATCTCTATTGTTGAACATAAATTTTGTTCTCTTTTCCAAATATCAAATGTTATTTTCACGTAAATCTACGATTTTGCCGTCGCCGTTAAGAAGCCCGGATATTTTCTCCATTTTACATATTTTTTTGTTATTTTTTTATCCGCATCCTTTCCCGTTAGTGACCCGAATATAACGCCGTTACTTGTCCTTTCTTCTCCACTCCGTTTTCAATGCCGTTACTGTTATCTTTGCGGTTTCCTATGGAGAAACCCGCTTCGCTGATTTTCCCAATGAAATTGGCCGGAATTTTCCAATATTCCGGCGAGATTCGTCGGAATCAGCCGTAATGCCCGCTGCATTTTCATGATTCCGGCAATGGAATGACCCGTTTCCCGGTGTCTTTTGTGATTCCGGCCATCGAACCGGCCCAATTCTTACTTTTTTTTGCTCGCCCTTTTTCTGACCTTCTTTTGCCGCAAGAACTTACTTTCATTTCGGCTTTGGGAAAACTTTCGAGTTCTCAGGTCTCTGCAACAAAAGGTGAAGAAGCTCAAAGAAGAAAGGGAACGGAGCTCGAAGGAGAGCGAAAATGGCGATCCGATCACAGATCTGGAGAAAGAGAAGCAAGAAGAAGCGATTTCACCCGAAAATAACAACGAAGAAAAGGAGAATCGAAACGAACGGGATCAAAATGACGCGGCCATGGCTGATTCCTCTCTGAAAAACCACGCCAAAGCCTCGCAAGAGAGCCCCTTGAACCAGTCATTCAACGAGTCCAACTCGACCCGATCGGAGGCTTTTGTCAAAGAGGCCAAAGCGGAACCAGAATCTGGTACAGGAAAGCCCGATCCCGCTCCGGCCAAGTCACCGGGAAAAGACGGGGGTTTGCCCGGAAAGGCGACGGACCCTTCTTCTCCCCACGACTCATACAACGGGAGCTCGGAGACAATCCCCAGAAATCAGTCCCAGAAAGTCATGGGGAAATTCCCTGGCGAGGTCGAGGCTTACTCGGACGCAGAGTCAAAGGGAAAAGACGCCGGGAAAGAGACGACGGAGAACAGTGATGTCCTTAGCTCGGTGAGTTTGTCAAGGAAGAGGCTTCGGAAAAATTTCCCAGCCAGCAGCAGCGGGGACGAGCTGTGCACGGACGAGATTTTCCCGGCGAATAAAGTCGCCGGAAAGTTGCTGCCTTTGCTTCGGTGTTTGAAGAATATACGATGTCACAAGTACGGCGCCGTCTTCAAGCACAGGCTCGAGAGCCAGGTAAATCACGAAAGAAATATAATATGCTTCCTGTTTAGTTTTAAACATGTTACTAACAAGTGACCACGCCTTACGCTCTATGCAAAGTGCGGTCGAGTCGTGTCAATTGTCCGATTAGTTCATCGGATGGTTGGCATTTTGGGAGAACTAGATCGATCTGGACCATCGATTTGTTTGGCTGAGTGAGTCCCATTTCCATCATGGATGGTGATTGCGAGATTTCGTGCTTAGGCTGAATGACAAAAATATCTCCTCTTTTGGGAAATTAGTTTTGGCCGTTGAAAAAGATGGTATACTAGGAAAAGTTCACAATGAGGCTATATGTCTTTGGTTCAAAGTGGTTACAATTAATCATTATCATTTGATGTGAAATTAGATGGCTACATTTAGTATTGTCCGACTTCCGATTTCAAAAAAAAAATTCTCGAAATTTATGATACACCTAGTAGTATCAGATTTTTCACATTGGATGGTCATGAATAATTGTGACATCTTTGTATCAAAGATAAATAATCCTATTGTATACATTGCCCCTTTAAAAATATATCGTTGAGATGGATCTTGTATCTAATTTTGAAGGAATACATGGGTCCTTGGATTTATATATAATTTTTGACATGGCATATGAATATGTAAAAAATAGTTTTTAAAAACTAAAAATTTAGTAGTTTTATGAAAAAAATATTTAGACTACTGGATTGAACTTTGGGTCAGGCATGTATAATGTGCCCACCTTACATTATACAAGTAAGGTACACCTCTAAATTTTATTAGAAAATGTAGTTTCGGTAGTATAAATCTTATGATGACTAAAAAATTCATGATCAACTTTAATTGTGAAATATTAAATTTCAAATTAATACAGATAGAATATATGTGCACTATAAAATTATAAAATAAAGGATCTACCTAATTTGTTATAAAATGTACTATTTTTAATACTTGAAATTTATTTATTTTGCTTTAAATTCGTAATCCTCAGGTTGATAATCAAATATATTATTTTTAAGATTTGAAATTTATTTATTTTATTTAAATTCATAATCTCCTGGTTGAGATGATTAGTTAGAACTTGGTTGAGATGATAAGTTAGAACTTAGATGGCTTTTTAACTTTAGAAATCTCTTTTCTATTAGATTTTTGAGGTGCACCTTATTTCTATAGGATAAGGTTATGACTTTTTTTGTTTTTTGGTAAGTCAGTGCGGAAGACAAGCCCTACCTGTTTTTTAAATAGAGTAAGAATTTGATTTTTAAGTAGATTAAGAATTTGATTTTTAAAAATATTAATAAGGTGATGTTATTCATAGTAATAAAAATCACATTGAAGTGATTAGGTGTGGGTATGCTACCACCACGACCCCTTACCCATTCTTAGGTGACGACCTTATATAAGTTTTTGGAGGGATTATCCATTTTATCGTTATGTTTTATGCTTCAGGCGTCGCAAAAGTAGGAATATGTCCACGGATGTACACAACTTTCCGCCGGGGGTAATTTTGATACACGTAGGATCCATGTGTGCGGTCCATATAGGAGCCATCCACCGTCCGTCGTCCTCTACTGACGGCTAGAGGAGCCCAAGACACCCTTTGTTCTCGTCAAACCTGCTTATCACTTATCGTGAAAGCACGTGTCACTTTCTGAGTAGAAAAGATTAAAATGGTTTTTTTAGAAATTGGTTTTGTTAGGATACATTATTTGGTGGTATATGCTTTTAAAGTCCTCAACAATTTTGAGCACTTAAATACTAGTAAATTGTAATATAAAATTTTTCAAGTAGGTTCATTTTGATCATTTAGAAAAATAGAATGGATATTTTTATAAAAAAATAATGGTATTTTATTAATTGTTAAAAAAAAATTAATGAATTTTGTGAGTGATATTGATGATGTTATTGTCTACTATTGTTAATAAATACTTTTGTTTTGGTAAAGAATTTCTATTTTACTCTTGACTAATTACTTAAAATGTCTTTGTAAAAAATTTCTATATTTTAAAGTTGCAACTTTATTTAAACTTTTTTTTACCTAAAAATACTTCTAAACAAAAAGTTACATCCCTATAAAATAAGGGTATCTAAGAGTCCAAAAAAGGAAAGCTTTCTATGTCCCTCTACAACGATTCTATTCTCCCCCTTATCCAACATTCTATTTTTTAACGGAAGGTTAAGATTGCCCCAATTGCAATGTCACGTCTCTACATTGTTTTATTTTTAATTTTTTTTATATAAATTGTTTTGACACCAAATTTTGGATGTCCATTTCTCTATTAAACTCGCATTAACGAAAAATATAAAAAAAATATTTTTAATAAAATAAAATGACCAAAATACCTTTGAAATTTTTAAAGGGTTTTTTTTGTTATTATTTTTTTTATCAAAAAATTATTGTTAATATTTTTTATAGGTGCGCCCCAATGAGAAGATTGCACGTACCAATTGTATATTCAAAAAAATTGTATTAAAAAAATTAAAAATAAAATATTTTGAGATATCGGATCTAAGATCAAACGATGAGTGGTTCTCTCCATAAAAAATGGACGGCTGGATAAGGAAACATTGAAAGCTTTAATCTTTAAGTTTTTTATGTTTCCCTACAACAATCCTCTCCCTTATCAAAAAATGTTGGTTTTATAGTTTAACGAAACCCAAAAAGAGTTGGACCGGCGATTGTAGGGTAAAATGGTCATTTGACTGAGCATAATAAATTAAGCGAGTAACGTTGTTCTTCCGGGGCCCTATGTAATACGTTTCTCGGTACCTAGTCAACAAGGTCCTCTCCAAAATTACTGTTCTACCCCTAGGCTCTCTATGGGGTCCACGTATGTCCGGGTCGATGATAAAGCCTTTTCAATTCTTTTCCTATTAAAATCTCCGCTCCACCTCGTTCTATTTTAAAATGACTATTCTACCCATACGATCCGTGTTTTAAAACTCCGCGGTTTTCAAAGTTGGTCACCGATGTAGATTCGTTCGGGATCAAACTGGTTCTAAAATAGCATAAAGTCCTGGCCCCGTTCCTCCTAAAACCTCTATATATATATATATATATATAGTCGTGGGNGGACAGGCACACGAGGGAGTAGG